AGAAGAGCGCCAGAAGTATTTAAAAAAAAAAGATGGAATTGAAAATGGAGGAAAATCTGCGCAAGCATGAAGAGAACTCAAATGCTGAGGTTGATTCCTTGTATTTTATTACTGCAAACCGAATGCGGGATGCAAAAATACTGTAGCAAGGGTTTGGATAAGTGCGGAGATACACAAAATTAGTTTTAGATACCATGGTAACCCTGACTAGTTTGAGGATGATATTCGATTCGATAGTCCTGATGTTTGCATTGATTTTATTGTTGGTGCGTTCTAACTTCTGATCTTTCCCTTCCTTCATATACTGTAATACGCGATACATTTTCACAATTTCTTTTCTTTTCCTGCCGAACTTTCTAAAAAAGGAGAAAGTATTGTGGAACAAGTCCAAAAGATTGTAGAAGATTGTTTTTGTGGAACGAGAGAGTGCTCCATGTATTTTGACCATAGACGCACCTTTTCAGGTAGGGTTTGGATAGGGGCTGATGCCAATCCTGGATCGTGATATTGATGGTGCAAGGTGTGTGTGAGACCGTGCGTGAAGGGATTGAAAGAGTGCTTTCGCCTAACAATCTATATTTGGGTATCTATGTCCAGAGATGGTGCGCTGACTGAAAATGAATCTGTATAAGGAATTCGAGACTTGTATACATTTTAGCCTTTTTCTTTTAGCCCTTGAAGTTCTCTTTCAGAGACTTCTTTAAAAATTAATTTAACTTCATTTTTGAAGTTTTGGTAGAATTTAATGTAAACATAACTTCTGATGTACCTTGAATGATTTGAGAGGGTAAAAAGTTACATTTACTTTAAATTCTGCCAAAAATTCAAAAATGAAGATAAATTCATTTTGCAAAAAGCCTCTGAAAGATAACTTCCAGGGCTAAAAGAAAAAAAATCGTCTGGACGTTGATTCATGTTGGGATCTTTTGTGCATGTCCTGACTTGCTTGTGATGCTTCCACCTTGCCAGTGCCAGTTCATTGCTGGTGCCCATGCAATAAACCTCACTTGCGTCCTTTTTGGACACAGCCTGGATGCATCCAATTCTCAACCTTTTGAACATGTTCATTCTAGATGCTAAAAGGGCGTATAATACCCGCGTCTTCCTTGGATGCATCCTACTGCTTGGAAATATGGACATATCCATTTTGATGTCGTCTTCCCGTCCTCTGGGTAGATGACCACATGGGATGCTTACTGTTTGTGTCAACAATATGTGACTTCTGAACATGTCCAAATAGCACAGGAGGCAGATGCTAATTTGGATGCATTTGTTGAGTGTCCTTTTCTGATGCACAAGGAATACTTTCTATGAGTTTTCCTGGGTCTGCAACGATATTTTGTCTTCCATTTTCAATCTTGAGTAGAAAATTTGAAAACTCTGGCTTTGTGCATGACACTCTTGAATTGTATCATTTGGCATTCTCAAATATTTTCAATCTTTATGATATGAAAATGGTTTTAGAGATGGGAATGTGTGAGGCATGAGTGCAGAATTTCTGCATCAGATCCCTGGTGAACAGAAGAAGGGATTCTACAAAAGCCTTCAACTAAGAGTGTCATTTTGCCTTCAAAAGATAGTTGATTTCTGGGAAGGTTTTGAAGTGTCAAATCTATTACTTCTAGTAAATATTAATGGGCTATTGGTTCTGTATCCCAAACAATCACACCAGCTCTTAATAATTGTGCAAAGTGAGACAGCTTTGAAATTTCACATGTTGACTTCCCTGTGAGTTTTAGTTGCAGGTTTAATCTGGAGTGCTTTGTTCATCAACCCATGCAATGCCACTTGATAAAACAGCCAAAATAACTTTCACTGAATGTTCAAAGTTGCCGACATTAGATTCATTACAAATGATTTCCCAGAACCCTCTGGGCCATGCAAAAAATGGATCTAGGACAAATCAAGATTGACAATTCAAGACAGGGCCAACTTTAGACAGAAACTTTTGGAGACTTGGACAAATCAAGACTGAAACTTTTTGAGACAGGGACATATTGAGACAAATACATTTTGAGGCACAGAGAGAATTCAAGACACTTTGATACAGACACTGTTTGAGATAAAATGACTGGATTGTGTTTCTCCCTAATATCTTCTGTTGAATGTGTGAAGAGGAACAAAAAGTTTCACTGCTTGGTGGAAGATTTTGCTAATTTAATTTCACACAAGACAAATGTTAATGATACTAAATGGGTCCAATTAGGGCAATACATACATCAACTAAGATTTTTCTTAATTTTTTTCCTGCTCTTCTGGATGTGTCCTCTGGCATACTGCTTCTTGTGACTGAGCAATCCTTCTCATATTTCAGAGGATTCCCTGACCCTAGGCTGTTTCTCCTCTTTTCAACATGTGTAAAGTGAGTGAACAATTTTGTTTTTTATTCTCAATAATACAAGTTATCACAACAATAATTAGTAGAATAATTTGAGTGATATTTCTTCTAGTATTCTTGATTGTTTTCCTGCTCTTGTGGATCTATGAACCTCAACACTTATTGTGCCAACTTTCAAATGCTTCTCATGTAATGGAGGAGTCTATGATCCCAGGGTTTGTCTCCTTTTTTCCATCATCACTCTTAAATAAGGTTCTGTCATCAAGGAAAAATTCAAAGCTTTTGTAGTCATATTAACAACTACGACACCCCTCACTTTCCGCACAACCCTTTTAAGCTAATGTATTTCTGCTATGCTTGTCTGCGCCTGGTGCGCTAGCAATTATATTTCCCAATCCAGTTGTTGACGGAATACTTTCCCAACTGCGCTCACGCTTCCTTCCTTTGAATAAACAAAGTGTGATGTTCCCAATCCAAATCGTTTTCTATGAGTGTTCTTTGACCTCAGCAAACCAAGGCTATATATACAGGTGCATTTTATGTTGCTTTATGTTGACCGCACCAGACTCTGTCCAAATGCCAAATCCTTGCTGCTGCGCTCAGTATCATTGTATTGTATTGACTGTGTGTGAAGATATAATAAATAAAATTTGAAATACTCTCACGGAGTAACTTCTGTGTTTCCTTTGGAAGTTGCAAAAAACAATTTAAATCTCTGATCCCTTTTCCTCTAATTATAAGAAGCAGTTATCAATGACTGATCATTGTTGATCACACTCTTTGGTATTGTAATTTTTGGATAACACTTTGAACAAACCTGAACAGATTCCTTTCCTCATTAGGATAGTGGGCTGTGGGCAGCTCTGATTGAATTTCTTTGACCATCCCAGGGGAATGTGGGGACATGCCAGTAGCCTTTGTGAAGGTTAAGGGATGTGAAGTACTTGGCATAAAGGAGCCAGTCCCTTTGCTCATTGACGTTGGGCATAGGTATGGGTCAGGCATGGTAACTTTGTTTGGTTGTAGGAAATCCAAGCAGAAATTGTCCTCCCCATTCCTTTTGCAGCCAATGGCAATAGGGGCCAACCATGGGCTTCTTGATTCCTTTTTAACCCATAGGTATTACATCTCCTTAAGTTCATGTTGAATGGTGGCAGTTGTGGTTGATGGAGTCTGATAGGCCCTCACAAAGATTGGTTCTTGGTCTGGAGAGATGTCAATGGTGTGATGGAGGATGGTGGTATGTCCAGGAGAGCTGTAGAAGTGGTCTTTCTATCTTTGTACTCATGTAAGAATTGGACAATGGCATGCTGGTCATCAGTTAGGTCAAGGAGGAGGACATCAGTTGGGTGGAGGGTGGTGTGTTTATGTGTGGGTTGAAGCCAAGGGTGGTCCAACTGGCATGGAGGAAGGGGCACCAAAGGATGGCAAAGGGTCCAATGTTGGGGGAGATGACAAAGTCATGGATGCCTTGTGAGCAGCAAACTTGGACACTGAGGGGTGTCTGCCCAAGCACCCAAAGAAGAGGTCCAGACCAGGGAGCAGTGGAGAGTTATGGCATTGCAGGGTGGAGAGGTTGGGTGTTGAACAGCAGGGTGGGGTGAACAACATTGATTGCAGCCCCTGAGTCAACTAGGGTGCTGATGTATGAGCCATTGAGTGAGATGGGAGCATGGCTGTGTGGGCAGGTGGTTGGTTGGCCATCAGTGTGAAGTGCCAGCACCAGTTGGCAATACTAGTTTTGAGGCAGAGAATACTTTTTCAATATGCCTTTTAATTCACAGGAAAGTTAATGGGGTGACATCAACGCAGAAGGGAACAATTACTGGAATCTCCATTAGATTTTTCAATCCTCTTTCGGTGTACACCTTGTTTCGCAAGCACAATGACATCTGCAGAAAGAAATTCAGGATCATCCTACAATATTCAATTTTCTATATTACTTCTTCTGTGACAAACCTCTTCAATCTTCCATCTATAATAACATTACCTGCCAATACCTGCTCTATGAATTGGGATATTTTTCTTTCATAATTTTCCCAGCACTTATCATCTGTTGTTTGACCTTATAAGGTTTTCCATAATTAAATAACAAATCAACCTTGTATATACAGGCGGGTTCCATGATGAGCATTCAGGTGGCTATTGAAGCCAATTTCAGGAATTCGCATTTGTTGTTTTCCAGGCGTCCTGACTTACAAGTAGTGGCAGGATTCCCCATCATCCACTTGAAATTCCTATGAGGGAAGCAAATCAAGATTCCTCAGCATGAGACAATGAAGACTCCAGTTGAAAATCAGGAAAAAGATAAAAATTTTCCTTGAGGCAATTCTGCAAATGCTCTGCTCTTGTGTGAATTGTTGAAAAGGATGACAACAAAACTAATTGCTCTGATGACCCCAAATGAGGGTAGAAAATGAAAAAAACCTTGAAACTTTTTTAGATGAAAAATCCCATCTGTTCATTCCCAGGAAAAATCCGCGGCATAGGTTGCCCAGCATTTTCTGAGGATGAATGAACGGATAAAAAACAAATTTGAACAATGTTCAAAGGATTTTCCCATTCGTCATTGCCTATAGTTGCAGAGACCACAAAGACACTTGACTCAATGCCACCCAAAATTGAAAACATCGGACTCATAACCCTTGTTGAAAAAACGAAGGTCGTTCATTTATTTTCGGCCATTCTTAAATTTGTGTCTTATGATTAATTTACATCCTTCTGGAGTTTAAAAAAAAAAGAAAAAGAAAAGATGTCGGTCTGTCCAGTGTTCATCCAAAGTAAGGCAGAACCCCCGGCGACGGCGGACCCGTGGGCGTCCGGAACAAATTCGGCGCCCCGCCGCCGAATGCAGCTGCTGGATAACCCGCCTGATGCAGCACTCCTGCTGAAGGCGCCCCGCGGAAACGACTGCCGTACTCCTCTCCACTCGCACTGTCGTCTCTGCCGCCCTTTTTGGCGCTGTATTTGAGTAGTTTGGCAATGAGTTCTTTGGTGTCTTCGCGAGAGTCGCCGTTGACAAAGACTGGCGACGAGTCCGGGATAGTGATGGGGATCTGAGTGGACGCATCGGAGGATGGGTCCTTTTTATTGCGGCGGCGTAAGAGGCGCCGAATGAGGTTCAACCGGCGCCGGTTGTCAAAGTTGGGCTGGTAGAGGAAAGAAGGACCGGCACCGCGTTGTTGGCCGTACTTGGACTGGCTCAGGTACTGGTTTTTGGAAGACGCGTCGTCGCCTTCGTTTTCCACTTCGTTGTCTTGGGCTTCGTCGGCGAAGTAGATGGAGAAGGGCGAGAACATGTACACTGCCATCTGAGTAATTTTCAAAAAGGGAAAAAAATAAAACCATATTTAGTTGAGTGAACTATGTGCATGTGAAAGCACCAACACCAAGCAGCCAAGGGTTTTAAAGTCATAGTGGAAATTTGACACCCTTGCAATTATGATGATTAGGATACTGTACTTATATAAAATGATGGCATATGTTGATATCCTGCTCTTGGAGAGATTGTTTTTGAACAACTTTGAATTCTGCTTACTCAATTACTGTATTTTTTAAATGTGAATCAAAGGTAATCAAGCAATAACCATCAGCAATTCTGTTGAAGAACTCCAAGGTGAAGAAAATACTAATTGTCAAGGTTTTATTTTGATCTTTTTATCTTAAGTTGTTGGAAGTGTTACCAACACAATTACTAATGCATTAAACATCTTCTTTGCAGGGATAATTGATTTTTTCTTCTGAAATTATCCATGAAGACAATCTATAAGTTGAGAAGTGATCAATTCTTATGGCTGGGGTGATGTGAAATGAGACACTACTCTTTAATATAATTGAGTTTTGAATTTCATGTACAGCTTTCTGCAATAGAGACTAGACCAGCAATGAATACAAAAGAAGTGTTGGGACACTCCTTTGTAGATTTTGCATACCTGGCAGTGAAAGGTGCATGACCACACATAATCATAAATGAAACTTGGACAGTCAAAAGGTGAGTGAGTGGTGACCAGACACCATTGAGCAACTTGGTGGCTATCCATGCATTGTGAAAATATGTTGAAGAAATACTGCAATGTGTTCAAGGTATTGTTACCATGTATTAGGATGTTCTAAAATCAAGGATGACAATCTTTATATGCCTCAGAGATGCTCTGTTTTAGATGTGTTGAAGAAAAGTAAAGGAGGTAATTTTTTATTTAGCCAAGGATGAAGTACAGTCAGTTTTACCATGAACATGTTCTAAAACATGCCAACCAATTTTGGAAAAAATTTAGGCTTTTTACAAAATGTGGTAATGTTCAAAAAGGAATTCTTCAACACCTAAATGCATGGATTCATTCAGAGGGAATGTCCATCAATTTGGTAAAAATGATATGGTACAGAAATTTTGCCATTTTTATCTACTGCACAATCACTTTTTGGATCTCCCATCTGTGGGTATACAAGCAAACTTGGTACACAATAATTTGATGAATTGAAACTAGATACACAAAGATTTACAAACAACAATACTAAACTGTACATGCGTGTAATATTTTGGGAATTCTTTGGGTGCAAATTTTCTCTCTCACCTGCTGGCCTTCAAATTCAAATATTTTGAAGTTTTGTCCGCCAAAAGTTCCTGTTTGTTTCACATCTCCGCTGACCACTTCTTCCAGCTTGATTTCCCTGCCACTGCCGGCGACAACACGAGGATATTTGGCAATGTCATTAGCAGTTCTGCCCCCGGAAACTGGGTTTGGTGCCCCTTGTGGATAATGGGTTGCAGGTTTTGGATTGTATGCATGGTCTGGGTTCCGTGGGCCTTGTTCTTGGGATTCCTGAGATTCGGATTCGCTGGCTGAGCGATAATCCCCCTGAATCAACTGGAGGGTCCCTAGGAGACTCAGCAGAAGAACCTATGTGAGGAGGAATTGAGATCAATTAGAAAAACAGTAAATTTTCATTTATAAATCTACTCCAATGCAACAGTTAAAACCTGAATCCATCCATGCTGGTAGAGGATTTTTAAGACAATTTTGTAATGAAAATTAAAAATGATTTTGGTTAAATCCAAGATGTCACATTCTCAATTTGAATGTTTCAACAGAAAACTAGAGGATTGGTTTGTGTCTGAGCTATTGGGGACAGATTGTCACCGCATGCAGAAAGATCAGACTGTGAAAGACCACTATCACCAGCAGCAAGACTGCAAGCACCACACATTAAGAGTAATTGAGTGGGTACATTGTGGAATTTTAGGGACCAAGTCATTGGGATTAGGAAGAGTACTAGAAGTTGGATTTGATTGAACAGAAGAGTGATCATCAAATGGTTCTGATTTGTTAAAATGATATATTGAAGAGAAGTAGAAGGCTATTGAACCAAAGTAGAAGCTTTCAGAGGAAAGGCAGTGGAAGATTGTCTTTGAGAAACAACAGGAATAGATTGATCATTTATACATTGACAATGCATAACTTTTATAGGAGGTGGAAGTAAGACATTTGAACCTGGTTTATACCTGGTTGATGAGAAGCAGCCTTGCACTTGATACCCATTCTACAAACCATTATGGAGAGGCACAAATACTAAATGAAAAGAAAACAGAAAGTAGGGTTTATTTTTAATGGTAATCTTAGAAATGCTCTGCTACCAATTTACATTTGGCACAGATTGTCACTTCAATATAAGGTGGTGTCAAGCAATTTAAAACACAGTACAGTAACCAGTTGGGGACATGACCACAAACTCCTTGTAGGAATTCCTAAGTTCATAGACTTAAGTGTATTGCGCATAAATAATTGATTGACTGACTCAGCAAACTCTTTTTACTACTGAAATAAATTGAATAATAACTGAACTCAACTAAACCTTGGATAGGTACAGAATTCAAAGATGCTTTGGTGCCCAGAAGTACCTGGCACTGCTATTTTGAGGGGAGAGATCATTTTCAAGAATTATGCAATGTACAGTACTTTTTATTTATTAATTAATGTACGTCATGCATGCCCAACATGAGCCTTTAATTCTAAATTTTCTTCAAATGCTTGAACCAATTTTCTTAAATGTTGGGAACCTACAGTTTCTCATCAGTTGCTAATTGGATTTCCATGTAGGATGTATCTGTGGTATACCAGCTAATGAATGATAAGGAATGCATATTGCAAAAGCCAATCAAGGGTGCATTCATTTGAAATCAATAGTGTCTGTACTGCACTTTACTGCAATCATATTTTTCCAACAAGTGGCAGTAAACTTGTGTAACATTTCCTGCTCCATTTGAAAAAATTGCGAGTACGGTAATTGAAAAATGTCTAGCAAACATGTTTGCCATGCCTTTGAGAATGCCCATTTTTTCTCTCATGAAATAGTGTACTTGCCAGTAATATTGCAACTGAATTCTGAGCATTTGAACAATATGTCATTGACAATAAGTTTGTACTATTTTCTTCAGACATGATGAGCCAGGAATGAATGATCTTATCTCCCCCACAAAACTAGGGAGGAAAGCAGTAAACTGGAAAAACCTGTGAACCTATATTCTTCTATACAAACAATTCTGTATTTTTTCCTGAAAGAAAGATGAGAACTTTTGAATAATCATTAGGTTTTAGATTTCATGCATATAGTGCATCACATTCAATTGAAAACACTGACTTTGACACATGAAGTGCTGCACAGTGTATACATGAACATCCATCACTACAGTACAAGTGTTATACAGTACTCACTGCAATACTTGCAATTATGTTTTTATTCATTTTCTACCTATAGGTTATTTTTCAGTATAAGATCATGCACTCACTTGTGTGTGCATCCCAAATCCCTTCATGTTGAAAAAGATCCACATAATGCCACAAAGTGCCACTTTCCCTCAGCTTTCAGTCACCTATTGGTTCTAATCCACATATTTTGTGTAGAATGATTTCCACTCACTTCCTGGCTGAAAAAAATTCACACAAAGAAATTTACGGTTTTCTTGAGTTGAAGTGTTTGAAACTTTTGTACAGTGCATGAAATGCCAGTAAAGCAAAGCATTTTTAAACCAATCATGTGCTGATAGACAAAATCTCTGAGATTAGGAACAAAGTTGTGATCAATGATCACAAAATAAAGTAAATAGAAATGCAGGCAATCAGCCTTTTGAAGTCCCAGAACTCATATTCAAACAGTTTCCTTGAATATATGTTCCAAGTTTTTCAATCATCTATATTATGAGCTTTGGCTGAGTTGAATACAAAGAATAGGCACAAACATTGCACAGAACAGATTTGAATAACTCACAGGAGTAACACATATTTGTGCACACAAATCAAAAAGAATAAAAAGAAAAGAGATAATTGTCCAAGAGAGTTTACGACAGACTGTTGACTCTTGAATTCAAATTATTTTCAGCTTTGATTGAGGAGGAAACTTTCATTGGTTCCCTCTCTGGTTTTCTGGTGAACAAATGTTTTTGGAAATCCAGAACACTTTCAAAGTCTTGAATCAAGAAAATATTGAACCTGTGTTCCAATTGCCAGTTGGCTCATAATTGGGTCAAGTTTTTCTTTATTCAAGGTATAATGATGAGTCCATGTACTAGCAAAGGTTTGATTGTTTTTGTTACAGCTCCAATGGAGTCATTTGGCAAATTTTAAACACATCTGAAACATTTCACAGATTAGCTCAAACATATTCCATAATTTCTCTTTTCCTTCAAGAGATCATGAATACTGAATATGCACCAAGTGTTGAAATTACTAATTTCAGAATTTTAATATTATATCCAAGAACTTCCAGATAAATGTAAAGCATGGCTACTATACGTCATCATATAGACACAGTATTCAGAACCCATGATGAGGCAAAAATAAATCGGACTTTGCCACAGGTAACAGTTTTGAGTACAGGACTGCAGTTCCTGATTCAGTTTTCAAAATTTAGGTTGCATATATACAGTACTATATATAGTTCACGAGAATAACATGAAATTTGATATTTTGTGCCAAGCCCATGAAAAACTGTAGAAGTTATCCTATTTGATCTTCTTACAGAATTAAGGCTTCCACTTTTTTCTTTGAAAATCTGTCCAAAAATTGCTGTGCAATCCTGCTCAAATTTCGAAATTGAAAAAAAAATTCTCCTCAAGTGATGAAAATATATGGAATGACGGATAATTCATGAATTGTATCCTCACAAACAACTTAATGAGAGAGCACTGAAATTCCCTACATTATTGAGATGAAAATTCACAATCATTTAGAGTCAAAATGATGAGTTCACTGAAATAAATTTATTCGGATCATGGTTTGTCAATTCATAAGCAGGCACTTGCCTCGGATATTGCAGCTGGGTGACACTGACGATCCGGATGTGCCACTTCCGCAATTGACGACAGCAACCTGGTGCTTTCTCGTGGCTTCGGGTTTCACAACAGGCGAAAGGACAGTTTTCCCGCGCCGGTTCCGAACGCAATNTCCTGCTATGTCCCCAGGTTGAGTCAGTGTCCTCATGTTGGGTCTTTTTAATGATTTTTTTGTTGAAAAATAAATGTCCCCATGTCGAGGCGTCTGCAAATGGGGGTCCCACTGTATATTGACTCGCCAAATGTGATGGAGTCCATTGATGATGATGTTAATTGGACAACTCATGAGGTACAGCGATTTAGACTATAGAACTGTTCAGTATTCAGTGGAAGTATCTTTCAGTGGCCTTTTTAATGGTCATCTGCCCTGATTTAGGTTCTCGGTTTGGAAAGAATTTTTGGGATGCTAAGCATGTCTATGCGGCATTTCCTCACTATCGCTTTTGTCTGGGTTTTGCACTCGGAAATTTCTTGAAGATGCCTGAAAATATTCTGAAAAATCCAGCCTTTGCCTTTCTAGCGTATGAATCATGGGATTTATTTTGCGTTCAGCACTTCTACGCAGCAGTTAATATCAGATCAGACTAAGTCTTTGTGACATCTTGCCTTTGTGATTTGTTGTTCCGCTGGCAAAATCGTAGCATCAACGGTCATTTCCTTAAATTTTAAAACTATCTCCGGATCTTTCTTCATGATTGATTGAAGAAGGTCGCACATCCAGTGATACAGTTCATCCCAACATTGGAAAGATTTTGGTTTTGAAATTGAGTCATTTAAAGAATGGGTTCCAATCATATATTTTCTGAACAAAGTCAAGCTAGAGTAAAAACTTAGGTTCTACTCTATGGGTTCTAGTTCCACATTGGTTCAGAACCGCCACATTAGCCCCGATGTGGCGGCTGTGAAGGCAGCTGTCAATGAAAATGGCGGAATTGCCTTGGATGACCTGGAGGCAACCCTTAGAAAGAATGCCAAGTTGATTTTAAAAATGCTGAGGGGAAAGCTGGGCCACAAAAGATAAAAAAAAACTGCGGGAAGGGTGCCTCATCTGTTGAGTGTATAGCAAAACTCTGCCAGGGTGAATTTTGCAAAACATTGAAAAAATTGTCAAACAGGGCTGATTTTTTTTTGTGCCAGAGAATATGTTTGCCCTATAGAATAATTTTTTGCAGCTCGATCAGACGCCATTTTCATTTTCATTCCAAGAACTTTTGTTAGAACCCTTGTATGTGGTACTTCAGCAAAATCCCAAAATGGTATTGAATCATGTTGAATCTTTGTTTAGTCTAACAGAACTTCTTGGCTAGGCATCGCAAATTCAATGATCTTACTAAAAGAAGTGGAGGTGAAGGATATTCTGCATCACCACCAATATTGATGTGCAAGTTCTAAACTTTCAACCTATCATTGGATGGAAACTGTGCCGTATTTCAGTATTTACAGGGTGTAAAACAATAAATATTATGTATTTTCTTAGTCAAAAATCCTGAAGCCCTTTTCAATTTTTGTTCATGTATTGAAATGTCTTCAAATTCCTTGTGATGCTGTTATTTTATGTGATGAGGTTTTCCTGCTCATATCATCATTTGGCTGAGTAGAAATTAGTTACAGTATTTGTTTGCATTGATGCTTCAAAAAATGTTTTTATGCTTACATGTCCCTGAAGTGTGGGTTAGGAGGGACACTCAGTGCCTGAATTGCATTGCCTACAAAGTCATCTGTTATACACAATTTCAACCCCCCATCTTCCAGGCCCTCCATGGTCACAGGAAAAGCACAAATACACAGGTAGAAATTAGGTCGCCTCTGACACTTTTCAATTTGAGGGGGATTCAGCAACCAAAATATGAGTAATGCACTGAAACGAACCGTGCAAATCTACAGTGCATGCGAACATTCATTTCTTGAAATAAAAGAAACTCTGCAAGAAACATTTCCGACAGACTTAACGTAGTAGTTTGCAATTGCGTTGTTCAAATTCATGGCAAACTGCTGCAATTTGTACTTGTAAAATCTATTCTCGGAAAACGTTCGCTGGAACAGGAACGCATTCAGCCATTTCGAGGCCATCCGCTAAACGTGCAATGAAAATGGGCTCAGATTTTTAAAAATGCTTCCAGAAAATAATTTCCCTTGCTTCACAAATTCTGAGAAATTTTGATGTAAAGTACCATATCAAAAATGTTCAATAGTTCCCGCGTGAGTATACAGCCATGAAATTTAACACATGTGCTTTTCCCCGCGACAGAAGAAAAAGTCAGGAGAAATAAAAGAAACGCCGCCGAAATAGCTCATCCATTCCGAGTCACAAAAACACGCGAATAGGAAGATCGTTCAGTGATTCAACTGAATAAATTATTGATTACCCCAAGACTGGAATAACCTGACAGGAGGATAAATAGACTTGGAAACTGAATCATCCTTCATGGAGTCACTTGCCGTCGAGAAACTTGCGCATCTTTTCAGCGTAATCAACCGGGGACAGGACCTTGGGCACCTTCCCGGCGTAGTTTTGATTCGCTGCTGCTCCCGCGTAGAACCCCAGAGCGAACATGCCCAGAAATTTCGCCAGTCCCACAATCATTTTGAAAAGACTAAGCAGAAACGACTAATGCTCAGGCATCTCAGTACCGATTTTATATGTCATAAAAGCAATGATTAATCCGAGAAAGTGAAAACCGCAGGAAAACCTGTCACGGTCTCAAGTTTATCGTGAACCTTGAAATGATCGAACCTGACTGGCGAATGTGAATTGAATTTCATCCGAACAATGCCTTCCCAAGTTCCCATGAAGCACCGCAGGATTTCCAGGCTACTTAAAACTATAGTAATTAAGGGATCCTCATGAGGGACACCTATTCTACTACAGTAGTTCGAAGCTAACAGCGACCGACCAGATTTTCCACCCGGCGTTGCCAGGATGCAGATCATTATCATCATCGCGGGGGAGACGCGTGTGAGAGATGATCTCCGCGGATTGTCATTCGAGTCTTGACTTTTGACGAAGGAAGTTGTAGGTTACACTGGCCGAGGACTTATTCATAAAACCTTATTCTATATCATCATCATCATCACATTTTATAGCTCTTCCAGAAACATCTTCGCATATAAGCAAGATGAAAGAAGAAGAAGAAGAAAAAACCCTGTTGAGGTCGGCGAAGGGCTCAGGAAATGGCCGACAAGGACTTGGCATCCCATACCGCGGTGACCTTGACTTCAGGCGGGGATACGCGTATCCTACTTCCCGGAATTAATCATTTACTCTCCATTACAGTTATTCTTTTAATTAATTAATGAAAAATTTACTCAATGCAGCACAGCTCGGTGGCAAGCAAGAGCGAGAACAATATTCGCGAAGATGGCGTCCTGCCTTCGATGCATGTTTCAGCTGACGATACCTGGTCTGATATTCTACGCGGGTGTTCTGGCTGCGCAGCGGTCTGTAGTGCCACCAGGTGTGCCTACACCCGCTGAAATCTACAAGGATGTCACTGGCGAGGAAATGCCGACTGTGAGCCCCACTGAAGTGTGGGAGGCTGCCTCAGGTACTGCGTCGTCAGACGAAAATGCGTCCGAAACCAAGTAAGTTCAAATGAGTGGTTTTCTTTTGAGATTTGCGTGAATTTAAAATATATCCTACTTCTACAATCAATATTATTTCACATATTATTCTCTCTAGTTCGAAGAAGGATTTGTACTTGTTTTTTTTTTTTAACGGGGTCGACGAACATCATACGCACCAGCGGCATCTATAAATTCACATTCTCAACCAGTGCCTGAAACTCAGGGAAGAATTAAGTCATTCGTCTGCTCGTAGATGTCGCCTTGAGCGGAGTCCAACTTCTGCGACTGAGTTTTCCTTCAATTAGTAATTTATTAACCGTTGATAAGCCCGCTACGATAATGTGTCCGACTGTAATTCAATCTAATTCAGACCTCGCATAACTTGTTGAAATCAGACGACATCTACACGGAAATTAAATGTTGGTACTGGAGTTAAAAATCTGGAGCACTGATCGAGCCAAGAGAATATTGAAACCGTTGCGAATCCAGTTTTAAATCTGTATCTATACCTACAAAGAAACCACTCATTTGAACTGACTTTGCTGTTCAGTGCATTGGTTGCACACACCTCCATTTACGCCCCACGCGATGGTTGTTGACACACAGACGCGGTTGGTGGAACGGACAAGGAATGACTTCCTCTGAACTCATCTGGAAGGAAGCCGAAATAATTCACAGC